ATCTTTATAATTCCAAGAACAATGTGAAATAGTCGTAACTATTGCACTAAGTAAACATATTGATTGACTTTACCAACGCACTTTTAACACCGACGGCGCGCGCGCGAGTCCTATTGATGGTAAGCACAATACATAATTTTGATGAAATCGATTGCATTGCCTCTTCTGTTGAAAATTTATCGACATATTACGTATCGAGAAGCCAATGGAAATTAAACAATGGATCAGTGTTGTGAGGATTGTAATAAATGTTTAAGGTCACAGACGCCTACCAGACGCTAGCGGCGGCCAGGTTAATGGCCTCGTACCGTGTTCGTGAGTTATATAATAACACCCAAAAAGACCGTTTCGGGTGCCGCGTTTAAGGTAAAAAACTAGGTACAAATAATCTGGTCACCATAGAGGCAAAGACTAATTTACAGTATTATCATAGTCATGTCATATTCATACTAACTTAACACTTTGCTCTGATCTTTTGTACTCAATGTTAAGCAAGAAAATTAGTAAAATTTGTGAAGTAAAGCCGATGTAGGTACGCATTAGTAATAAGATCAGTTACTATATATTTTTTTATTAGCAACTGAGATTTGTATTAGGGCTTATGTCAAAATACTGGTAATATAAATTACGAAGACAATTTAAAAAGACCTACCTTCATAGTTTCCTTTACAATTTTCACTTGTGTGAAGCAAATTTTTGGCATGCACTTCAAATCATGTACTTCCCTATTCTAGTTCGACCGGGCTTCGAAAAGTCGGCAGACACTTCATTTAATGCAACTTCAGACGTCAAAAACTCTTTCCTACACCGTAAAATCAACATTAGATCAATCTAATTTACATATGAGCTTAATATAGTAACTTTTTTCGAACGTGAAACAGTTTTCGAAAGAATTTCAAAAGCGTTCATTAAACGAAGTAATTCGAAGTCAGCAACTTCAATTATCAGATACTTAGGACTCGGAACAAAGAATCTTACACGTGGGAAATGCTAGTAGATATAATAGTATTCTCCATAATTCCAAGAACAATGTGAAATAGTCGTAACTATTGCACTAAGTAAACATATTGATTGACTTTACCAACGCACTTTTAACACCGACGACGGTGCGCGCGCGAGTCCTATTGACGGTATGTACAATACATAATTTTGATGAAATCGATTGCATTGCCTCTTCTGTTGAAAAATCATCGACATATTACGTATCGAGAAGCCAATGGAAATTAAACAATGGATCAGTGTTGTGTTATCTTCCTGTATCGCGTTGCCGCATAGGTATGCGTCTTAACGTCTATTAAAATATGGACGTTTAGCACGTGCTGCAGGTCGTTGTTGGCCTAAGCGACTCGTGTACGTGACAGGTGCGAAATGGGTAAAATACGTAAAAACATAAACGAGCAAAGAATTACGTCTTTTTCCTTAGACATGCCTGATTGATGGTGCCACACAGATGTCCTGTGCCATTTTCGAAAATTCGTATTCGTGAGCGGATATTTTAAGTCTCAAAAATGGTACCTAACTAAAATGTTTCGCATTTGACTTAAACTACATACCCTCGTTTCTTTTTTTCTAATATTTACACGCATTGTAGTACAAACTTTAAAATCGAGGATACCTGTATAACTCTAAAGAAGTAGTTAAGTACTAAGCGTCTACGGCACGTATAGCATGTAGATAAAGGTAAATACTTGAAAAACTTATTATCTGTGTAGGTCAAAAACACCTACAATAATAGAAATGTAATCTCATTTGACTACTTAAATAAATTAAAGCTACAGAGATATCTAAATGATTATTATCTATTATTGTCACGAAACAACAATATTGCAGGTTATCCGTGCCTGACGAAATCTCTCCACCAATTTATATTTGCCGTCAAAAAAATGTAAATAGAAAGTTTATGACTGTCTCTTGCACTCGACACGTAAATTTAAAATGGCCAGATGGTAGAAATGAAAACGCTAGTGAAAGAAGATAAGCTGCTTGTAATTTGAACTTCGCTAGACAGAGAACGTGTAATTTGAACCAATTTGTTTTTTTTAGACGTGTTGCGCCCAAGAGCGTGCAGTTATTCGAATCTCGCGCAGTCGAAATGTGGTACGGTAAGCCATTGGTCAATTACAAACATTACATTGTATACCAACATTTCTACATCTTCATGATTTGCGGGTATCGCTGATGAACATCCTAATATAAAACGGCCTCGTTTACTTGAAATCAATTTCAAAGATAAAAACATTTTAGAAAACTCCAATATATATAAGAATGAATAATTAAATTCTCGGTAATTTATCTGAAAACCTTTTCCTATGTGAGTACCTATGACCGCAATTCGTCCAATGACGAATCAATCAGATATGCAAATGGTTATTTTATAATTCACAACCTGGCTTCAATTAAGGTTTCTCTAGAAATTTCTTTTTGGTAGTAACACGGATTGTGTGAACCTACTGCCTATACATTTTAGTGCTTTTATTACACATATATCTACTTCTCTATGCACCGTGAAAAAGGAAAAGTACAAAATGTTTGGCCTTTATACGATAAAATTTAAATTGGCGAGAAAGTAAACTAACGTAGTTCTCCATAAGAACGTAATGTATTGCCTTTCATTTGCAGACGAAGAACAGTTTCTCCTGTCGTTCCGCGTATGATAAAGTTACGATCTCTCATTACTGTAGATATCATTAACGTAGTCTCGTTATTCCTGGCATTTATAGAGCAAAACCATGCTGCAGAGGCGTAAAACTATTACTCGAGTGACCACTTTTGAAATCTTTTACCAAGTCATTCTTAGATATATGGAACTATTCAACGAAAACGGCAACTCTCATTACGCATGAATTTTCTTGCCATCTAGTACTATTACCCGCCTCAAAATATTTTATCTTTTAACTTTTAAATTAACGGAAGTTTAGCATTACAGGTGTGGTGATTTTTAAGTATCCATCTTATTGAAAGTTCAAAAGCTGCTTGAAATCCAGATACGCTGTTAGATTGATAACGAAACATCGTTGTCATTACATTTCCTTTCGAAATATGGAATATATTATATTGCAGCGGCCGTTTTCTCCATCATCCCCTCCTTGTTAACTGTTTATTTTGGTAGCCGTGCCCTGTCGACGCCATGTTGCGTGTGGCGCGTACGCAGGGCCTGTTATGTATATTACAATTAAACACATTTCTCTTGCATACTTTCTTCCTCTAGCTAATTATAGATGCGCCGTAAGTACAATTTGTTTTCGTAGTTTGAAAATAAGCATGGGGCGGTTACACAGCGGTCTCGCTATGGCTTAATAATGATGTTTTCTTAGAATAACAGTATGCATACATAATGGACAGTTAGTTTTCAATCAAAGCTGTTATCACTTCCGCGATGCAGCTAAGCCGCGCGAGTGCACTTGATTGCACCGCTCGTGATGATGCGTAATTTGCGCGGTATGCCCGCGGCGCAGGCGCGGTGGTGGCGGCGCACGCGCGCTCCACGTGCCCCTAGGGCTGTGTCATGGCGTATATGTAGCCATATCATTACGCCTCATGTAACCAATCACATAGACTTCCATTTTCATCTCACCTCACTATCTACTATTGATATCGATAATGGGGAAAATAAGAGTTGGAAATGAAAGAGTTGAACTTAATAGGCAACATCGCGTATATAATTAATTGGGCGAGTTTTATCAATTTCAGATCATAGTACGGATTGGTCTAATTGGTATTCTATTCACTAATGTAGATGAATGGTGTCATTAATCAAAACATTTGGTCACGTAAAACATCTTTAAAATTCTTTAACTTGAATTTATACATAATGTATAATCGCCAGAATGGTGCTTAATGCACTTACCGGTAAAAATTGAGTAAAATCGGACTGAGAATTTGCTCTATAACCGTATTGCCACTGTCTCGACTCACGTTTGTTGAAAACTCATTTTAACTCAACTCTAGTTTAATATTTAATTAAAACTGTTAAACGGCTACACTTTTTAGGATTTACAATGCGTACTACATTCATTCAACAAAGAAATGTCTCAAAAGCCGTGCTTAGTTCCTTTGTTGGTTAATTTGAAGCAATCCTAACCATGTGTATGTTTCTAAACTGGTAATAGGCCATTGCATAATGTTTAACAACGCTGTTTAGTGGCGACGATTCCTTTTTTCAGCGTCTGATAGGAGTGTTACTTTATGGTTTACCGTGATAAAAGTTGCCATTGCAAAACAACTTTCTACAAAACATTTAACAATACAGCAAATCGAGGCTAGCAATTCAACGAGGCGCAAGATGGCTAGATAACGTTAAACTTCAAAGCTCAAATATGCTGTTTTATAAGTGGGAATTGCTATCACCCGCTGGCATCTGTAGCGAGTATAGTGACTGCCACTGCGCCTGCTTGCACCCCGAACAATCGCAAAGCTTGTCAAATATTATAAGCCTTTAATTAACTACGACATCCGCTTGTCCCCGAAATCTTACATTAGGAACGTCATAAATTCCTTTTGTCATTTGTAAGAAACGCTGTATAGTTTGTAATACCTGTACTTAGCTATTTAGTTTATTCACTGAAATAATTTGGCTACTCATTTAAATAAATTTAAAAAATATAAAATAAAAAAGTCAACAACTTCTACGGCTTTTTAACTCGAATAGGGCTATTGATTTGTGGCATGTATTGACCAATGGCTTCGGCTTCCCCTACGGAAGTGAGCCCCTCCTGCATGCAGGTAATGATGTCCATGCGTGTCCACTCCGGGGGGCGTGCTGTACTTACACGTTAATTTTTTATGAACTCTCGTATTAAATTTCGTAATGGGATGGGCGCTTAAAAGATTGGTTACAGAAATTTGATGCGTTCTATCACGTCATAAAAAAGTTCCGTACGCATTACATTTACATAAAAAGCGTGATTTGGTCCCAGTACATTGTTTTAATAAATGTATTTATATACTCTTGTGGCAATTCTAGATGCATATGAGAAATGCAATGTATATTTTTGTTAAAGGGTTCCGAATGCCCCGAAGAGCTCTATTGGTGAGCTGTTCAAGTCTGATGCCAACGACAATGGTCATAAGAGGAATGGCATCAACCGCCCGCGTGTCTCACGCGACAAGCTAGACACACACTCCAGACTCTTCGGCCAGGTTAGTTATTTCCGGTACCTACAACAACTATGACCTAACAACTAAGGTAGATATGTAAGGTTAATTGTGTATGTGACACAGTGCAGCTGCAACTTAATGCAGATTAGAAGATTATTTATTGTAGTTATTTTGTCCTGTATTTAGATCAGCAGGAAGAAATTTCTTATAGAAATAAGCAGTACCATTTGTTTGTGTTTCCTTTTGTTAAATGTAATTTGTTATTTAAATCCGGAAAAATAGTTACATTTCCTATGTGTAACAATCGCGAAAACCTAAGACCTCGACTTGGAAACTTCTTTAAATTCTGCTTTCAGACGGCGGCGGTGCAGACTCATGTCGCTCCACTGGTGACAGACACTGTGCGAAGCCACATTCAATTCGGAGACCACGAGATGAACGGCTCTTCTGCACCATCTCCCAAGCATATGGCGAACGGCAGTGCTTCTTCGACACCCAGCCAAAATGGAAGGGACATCGGTCTTCACTCTCACTGTGAGTCGTTTCTGAAGTAGGCGTAACTGCACAGCTTTGAGGGGCTACCCTGGCTCTTGATTTAAATCGATTTTTGAAACACAGAATTAATTAAATATCGATAACTTTCTCGTTATTAAATTGATCTCGCTCTACCTCACGCGAATGAGTTTTATCATTGAGAAATTTATTTATGTTACACATATAATAATGTACTAATACTTATACATACGTAACAATACAAATGCATCACAAATCGCATCAAATAGGTAATTAATTTTATTATTCTCACTTTGGTTTTTTAAATCTCGTCACTTCCAATGTAATAATTTGAAAATCGATTCAAATCGACTTTTTCTGACACACTACAGCTCTTAATCATGCTTTACGGAGGGACCCTGGTGATTTGTAGGCAGTTTGAATATGGAATGCTTTCAAAATAAAAATATGACATAAGTACAAGTATAGATAGTGAGCATTTCAAAATATTGCTTGCTGGATTGTGTAGTAAGCAACCATTCCACATTCGAACCACGTGTAGCCGCACTCAGAAACAAGCGTCTTCTGCTTTTAGAAACGTTCTGCGTACGGTCACGGTTGTCGGTCCGCTCTGCGTTATTTGGCACTCGAGCACGCTACCCCAGGATTAATACGCTTACGTACTCGTTTACGCTCTGATACACGTTTTCACCTGTCAAACATGCATTTACTATATATACGAACTGAACACACAGTAACCAAGATGATATGAAATTTTGACATACGCTACTGGTACTGTACCTAATAGGCACACGCCTATTAACTCTAATATTTTTTACTCAAGCAGTGCTTTGCTTAGAATGAGGCATGATATTATTATGTATGTTTATGTAAATATAAAAATAATGAATCCTGTTACTACTTATTGTTTGTACGCAAAACAGGCCATGAATACTAACAATTACGACTCGGTACATATGACAGCATATGATTAGAACAACAAATGATAACATTAGGGATGCCTATTAGAATACGTTACGAGAAACTTAAGTTAGAGCCAAAGTTTCCAAGGTAGTTCTAGAATCTAAATATTAGGTGCATTGTATTGCACCACAGGCTCCGGAGTCAAATAGTATTGCGAGTTGGGACTTTGGCTCTACGATAGGCTAATGTAACAAATGAAAAACAATTATTCTGTGACTGGTCAGCAACGTACTCGCGACCGAAGAGGAACCCGGTGACCGGCGATGGAGTGTCGGTGCCGCCGCCCCGCCGCCGCCACCCAGCCGCCAGCCAGCGAGGTGCCGACCCTGATTGTTCCTACCTTCCCGAACCCGATCCATTCGAACCACAGCCAACCCACCGTTACTTCACCCGTAACTGGCCTCCCCGCCCCGCCGAATACTACGTGGAGTCAACCACCAAACCGAGCCTAAGCTTGCTTCAAACACCTTACACTCTGTTGGGGCTGAAAAGTGATGATCCCGAAAAACAGCATCCTACAATTGATCCTGATTCTCTGTCCCCTCAATTAGCCCTCGACAGACACTGGCCGCCCTTTCCAGCTCAGCATTATCTTGAACCTAAGGAACATAAGATTCCACATTACCCATTGCCACCTTACGCCTTCGTTGGTCTAACTTCAAAATTTGAGGACAGGCCTCAACCTGATTATAAATACAATCCTATACCATCTCTGGACGGCCCGATTGATCCCTTTTTATTAGAGAACTGTAATCCTCCGCCGACTTTATTTAAGTACGAACGTGATGGACCAATTCCTGATGTGACTCCACTGGAGACACCAGTCGTCCCCGGCCCGCATACCCTGACTGGTTTTCCGCCTATATTCCCTAAACATGTCCCAGGATACCTGTTCACTCTCAATCGGCATGCAGAAGACTTCAAACCTAAGACGTACTATGTAGACTATATTCGCCGGCAAGCGATGGGTGGGTGTTTAATTAAGACTGAAGGAATGCCATTTTGCACCATTACAGTAATGATAAAATATCTTGAAACTTAAACTTCAATTGAGATATTTTTTCAGGTAGTCTAAGCAAGCTTGTTTATGCTGTTATATTTTATTTGGAAAGAACAAGAAGACGATTCCTTCAAGTCGAGTTAAGCACTCCATACCATTTTATTATTTGCTTACGTAAAATTCGGGCTGGATTAGTTTCTTAGAGTATATATATATATATATATATATATATAGCTTAGGCTTAGGCAAGTTAAATTGTAAGAAGTATAATTTGATTATAGCTCGCTTGTTGTACCGATTGTTAATGAATTGATGATACTTATTTAAATATCTCCTTATCTTTTTACTGTTATTGTAAATACGTATACCTACTGATTTACTACTTGTGCCGCACTTGATCTCCTCTATATTTTTACTTTTTATTTACATGTATCTCTAAATCTACCGTAGTTAGTCTTACTTTTGTTACGTTACTGTAATCTTAGGTTACCATATTGTAGTTAAGTATAACAAAGCTTTCAGAAGTGTTTATCAATGGATTTGCAGTTTGGCTATACCTATCTAATATATTGGAGTTGCATTTTACCCTTATGTAGTTTCATTGTTTCTTCATAAATATTCCGAAATACTTATTATGCTTCTAGTTTATAGCCTTTAGATTGTCTGTGCATGTGGACATTATAATACGAAAAATTAAGTTTTACTTGTCATGTAAGAATTAGACACGATCTCTAGCAACCAGCATCACATCATTTTGATATTATTTATTCCTTCGTGTTTGTCTTAGAGGAAAGATGTGCCCAAAAGCCCTTATTAACGTACGTTTGTATTTTCAGAAGGAAACCCTATTACCGGTGATGGGTACAGAGGAGGGCACGGGCATAAGGACAATGTGAAATACAACAGGAGCGAACTGCACTACAGCCACAGCAACCGCGTGCCCCCGGGCGGGTACTCGTCGCCTCTCTGGTAGACTGCCGCCTACAACAAAACACACACACAGCGGCGAAACACCACGTCTATTCTTAGGTCCCGTCGCAAGGTTTCTACCATATTAAAAAAAATGCATATATCCTAAATCCAAAGTTTCGTTGGAAATACTCGAAATTTAACACTACACTATAATAATAGTGACTGATTTATATAAAAAAATCTAAATATACTGAAAAATTATGCCTGGGGTGGGGTTTGGGTTTTTAAAGTACAATCGCGATATTTTCGATATAAAATATAATTGGATATAATTAATTTTTTAATATTCAAAAATACATTACAATTAATTATCATGAAGAAATCCTGCGATGTTGACCTCTGTGATCGCCGCTGGCCCTTCAACCGGCGAACCGTTACTGGCCTAAGAAACACTACTGGTTACTCCGACCTCTTTCGCCATTAGCAGTTGTACGATGTAATGCATTTATTTAACTGTCCAAACCGATGCAGACTAAAGATAGTAGTCTCAGTAATCAAGATTAAATTAGCAGCCGCAATAATCGATTATAACAAAGCAACCTGCACTTAACTTGCAACGTCTATTCAATACTAAAGGGCATAATCGTCGAGGATAGTGCAATTACACCTAGCATTTGATTATGAGTTTCCATTTCGTTAGTTTAGTGTCCAAACCAAATCCGCGTACATGTCGTGTCAACCAAATTAGCTTGATTTACGGTAATCTATTGTTGTCAGTCCGTAGACAAACATAAGTCAATGCTTACTGACCACTGAAATAACAAAGTGATAACGCTAAATCCCTCTCCTGTAAAAATTTGGTTTGTGCAGATTAGTGACTTTTGCCAATGCTACATACATACGTGTATTTGCACTATCCCCGACCATATACGTTGTTAACGACATCCTTATCATCTCCCAGTAACATATTCTTTCGATAAGTTAGCATATAGATTATAGATATTTTTGTAATAGTAATATTTCGGATATGTAGAGATGTTGAATTCGTGTGGATCCTTGAGTCGTAAATAATGCCGAAAAGTATGAGAAATTTGTTCGTGTCTGTTGTGAGACTGAAGTGTCCACATTCACATCGTAAGGACCTGAGGTATTGTACTCATTGACGATTAACAAATATGTAAATGCATCGATACCGTGAATTAGGAGTGAGGATACGTATCAGCAATATACCAAAATGACAGTGCCTTGTTTGGTGATGAGTAAAAATTCTATTTGAGACGGATTTTATGACTGTAGGTAGGCATAATGTGTAAACTCAAATGATTATATGTCTATATTTCACAGTATAGAAATAGTAATCATGTGACACTCAAATTTAATATTTTGAAATTATCGTGACTTTATTAATCGACACTATTTAATTCTAATCTTCTTTGTTGAATTTCATTACGGTAATAATTTAAAGAGGGTTTATAGAATGCATTTATTTTACATTTTACTATACATGTTTATTTTATTTTTAGTTTATTTCTATCTAGATTAAAGCATTTGAATATTTGGTAGATTATCTGTTAACACGGGTAAGGTCCATTGTTATATTTAAAAAGTGGAGCGGAATATAAGTAAGTTTCAGTAGCCAACAATACTTCGTATTTATTTTGAATAAACAGCTATGAGGAAATGGCAAAATAATTGTTGGTGCTGAAACACAGCAATTGTCTGCGTTGCTATTGGTAAATAATGGACCAATAGAGAGGGCTGCGCGAGTGGTGATCGGTCACATTAGGTGAGGCTAGCTATAAGTATTAGCGTAGGCATATCATCTATGTAAAAACGTTTTAATATTATATATTCTAACGACGAATTACATAATCACTGGCCTATGTAACAATTTGTTAATAGATAATAACCATTCTTCAAATAAATTTTTTTATTAATAATGTAAATGATGTTTTATTTGGATATTACCACAGACCGCATAGATATTATCATCATGCACTGTTTCCAAGATTTAGAATTTAATTACTAAAATAAACATTACACATTAACTAAATTGAAACCTGTTATGTTTCAGTAAGAATTAGGCTAATACGTAGTTGACAAGCATGGCGTCTCACAAATTCATACTTTTCCGCTAAAGGCGCGCTCCCATTATGCCGTGACGACAGATAGTGCAGTTTAGTGTCGTGGTTTGTATATACAAATGAAGTTGTTCACATATAGTACAACACGACTTTTTTAACGTTACGAGAACAGACTGTCGTGACAAAGGGAAGACCTACAACAACAGTCGTCATAAATAAAACATCACGATAAAAATGTGACGACATAATCGCAGCTACTATTGACAACAACAGACTGTCGTCATAATGGGAAGACCTACAACGACTTTATTGCTGATGACATGAAGGTGCTAAAAGTCATACGTGGGCAAACAGATGTTGACAATCTTCAGGAAGACTAAAGCCGATTTGTAGCCATAAATAGGCTTGAACTTAAATGTGTCCAAATGTTTTTACATGACATTCAGCTGTAAAACATCAACTATAGGCACTGGTTACAAATTACATGGCACCAACATATTGAGTCAGGGAAATAGCGAGCACTAAATATAGGCAAAATACGTACACGGTGCGTGCTTTGAGACTTTATAACAATGCGACAGTAAATCATACTCGAATTTAATTTTTGTTCAAGCATAGACACAGTCAAGCGTGAAATGACCAAACGTCACTTGGACACACCACGTGATTGGCGATGAATACACTGGTTTGTTCGTTTAATTCTTAGACTTTTTTTTACCATCCTCTAAGGTTTAATTGTATATTAATAATTTTTAATTTTTAACCGACTTCAAAAAAGGAAGAGGTTCTCAATTCGACTATGTTCTTTTTTTGTATGTATGTTACGCGATAACTCCGGTATTTGTGAACCGATTTTCATGATTCTTTTTTTGTTGGAAAGGGGGTACTTCCATAGTGGTCCCATTTAATTTTGAAGAAAATCATCCACCTCGAAGGGTGGCTGTTCACGCATAAAGATTCTCTTTTATAAATAGCGCCTAACTTTAATTTAGGAGCAATTACTTTAATGGTTGATTTTGCTATTTCTTCCATTCAAGGCGTTTTTCTCTCAATATACTTTGAGTAGTGTCGTAGTGAGAACCTATTTTTATTATCTACATGCAATAAACATTAGCCTATAAGTTAAGGTTCCTTAACAAAAAATTAAAAAGAAGACGCAACAAGCTACGCCGCGAACACTTTACAAAATGCAATATAATAAAGAACATATTCTCTACTATACAAGTACACATTTCTTTGAAAGCAAAAGAGTAAAGCTGTGCCACTTGCTGCATATTCTTTTTCATATTTTGTTTAAACAAATGTGAGTGATCATACAAGTGTATTCGAGTTTTTAAATTAAAAAAAGAAATACTTTTAAGTTATTTTAACTAAATTTAATACTGCTGTTACATTGACTACAGTAAAATTATATTACGTCGCTGATAAGCAAAGTGTTGCAGATTTACGAAATTCAAACCTTTGCACTGACCAGGCGCATGGTAAACAGCCGACACTAGGTAGGTACAGTGGCACTATAATTAAGGTTCGCCAATTGCTGTAGCCAAGCGACGCGAAGCTGCTATGTGTTAAAATGAACAAACTTCTACGAGATAAGGTTACATTTCTTTAAATGAAAAAGAAGACGCAGCAAGCGGCACGGCTTTATTCTTTTGCATTCAAAGAAATGTATACTTGTAAAGAACATCTATTATATAACCAAAAATAGAGACGAAATAAAGGCCATCCATCCCTGGCAACTCATCAGGTAAACGGTAAACCTTATGTCAACTTTTAAATCAAAACTCATTTGCGCTGAAATAACACATTACAAAACTGAAATAGTACAGCGCCAACAACTGACCTGTGTGTACGTCTCCGTATATTCCAAAAATATTCTATATTTATTGTAATAAAGATAATATCTCTAACAATGGGGGCTGTTCCATTCGGTTGTGTGGGAAAAACAGCAAAATAATCTAATTACAAAACAAACGGAATTACATTTCATCGAGTACTCGTTTGCTACTATGTGTACTCGGTCGTTTTTTTACTACACGTACTCGGCCAAATAAGTCGGTTCAGGAGAAGAGTACTCGGTTAAAATAAAGCATTACAGCTATAGACATAATAAAGTAAAACCAACAATATATTTAAAATAATTAAAAGTCATTTATAACTAGAAATTCTAGACAATGGTAACAATTTGTAGCAATTCAGTAATTTAAAAAGAAAGTTGACATTATTAATATTTAAAATTTAACAAAGGCAAGTTATGATGTAGGAATACAAGCCTTTCTGCGCGTTCAGGTAATAGTAATAATAACAATTTCATTGACATATCGGTCTAATTCTAGAGCAATGGGACTTTTAGGATCATCGCATTCCGGTTGTAATGAACCGAGTAACTCGGCCGAGTACTCGGCTCAGCAAACGTTAAACCGAGTAATATTCGGTACTCGGTTACTCGGTAAAACTTGTACTCGGCGCATCTCTATTAAAAAAAATGTAGTAAAGCTCAAGTTAAATTGGTCGATTTGAAGTGAAACAATTGACGAATTAGGGCGGGCCAATTGGAGCGCAGTTGTCACAGTAATGGTCTGGCAGAATAATTTTCAAACAAATTAAATGACATTTCGTCTCTATTTCTGGTTATATACAGGGTGGAAATTTGTAATGCCACCTGGAGGGAAATTACTCTAAATACTGGAGATACAAATTTTTACTTAAAGGAAACATTGCTTTACTTTTTAAAAGAAATAAAACTGCATTCATAGATTTTTTTAAATTTCTAGCAACACGCGGGAATCGAACCCGCTTTAATCTGAAATAAATGCACCCTGCACGTTTATTGCATCGATCGATAGAGTTAATTTTAAGAATAAAATCTCTCTCAAGAAATTGGTTATTTAAATGAAAAAAAAACATTAAATCTTAACGTATTTTAATAAAACGAAAAAAATGGTAATCTAACTAATTAGTTGCTCGAAATGAGCTCCATTTTCTTGGATACACAATTTAATCTTTTAACGAATTCATTTTGAGTAACTTTTAATAACGTGTAGTGATGAATTGTATTACAAATCGTATTCTGAACCTCAGCCTTCAACTCGTTTACTCGTATAGGATTTAAGGTAAATTTGATTTTTAACATATCCTTACAAAAAAAATTTAAAGGGGTGAGATCTGGTGAACTCGCAGGCCAACTGATTGTGCCGTTTGTACCAATCCAGGTATTAAAATGGTAACTAATGTAGGCAGTAGTGACTCTGCTGTTATGGGCTGGAGCGTCATCTTGCTGCAGTATTATTCGATTTCGCTCTTCCTCGGATAAAACATTTAACTAATTTCTTAAGAGATCCAGTATTTAAAGATACTTGACAGTGTTCAAATGACCTTCGTACACGTGGACTAACATAACCATATTTCTCATAATTCCGCACCAAACGTTGAAAGAGAATCTTACTTGATTTTTATTTCTATTTTTATTTATTTACCTTAGATCCTATGCGAGTGTAAACGAGTTAAAGGCTGAGGTTCAGAATACGATTTGTAAAATTCACAACATCACAACACGTTATTAAAAGTTACTCAAAATTAATTCGTTAAAAGATTAAATTTGTGTATCCAAGAAAATGGAGCTCATTTCGAGCAACTAATTAATTAGATTACCATTTTTTTCGTTTCATTAAAATACGTTAAGATTTCATAGTTTGTTTTTCATTTAATTAACCAATTTTGTGAAAATTTATTCTTACAATTAACCCTATCGATCGATGCAATAAAAGTGCAGGGTGCATTTTTTCAGATTAAAGTGGGTTCGATTCCTGCGTCTTGCTAGAAATTTTTGAAAATCTATGAATGCAGTTTTATATTTTTTTTTTTTTTTAAAGGAATGTTTCCTTTAAGTAAAAATTTCTTCTCTCTTTCTTCTCTTTCTAAATCTTTATTATATTTCATTTTGTAAAGTGCTCTGCATGTATTTTAATTCTTTTGTATAAAGAAATTGTAACTTTATTTTGTACAACTAATGTTTCTTGCATTTCTCGTTTTAATGAATCGCAGCGTGACTGCGGAAATTTGAGGAACGTTTGGATCTTGACCGGATGCGTTAGGATTTTACTATCAAAAATATTCCGTCATACTCTTCATCCGATGCAGACGGCGACTAGCACAGAATATTTCACACACACACACACACCACTATTAAAAAAACTATCTATTTAAGAATCTTTTGTTTCTTCCAAATGTTTATTTGTGTCGTTTTGAGAATTCTGTGCGTCACCTCTACTTCGTGTTTTTGGCTCTTTCGTTGCTATGTTTAAAGGAGATTCTATTTCAAATGTAACTGGACCGTCGTTTTGTATCGACACCTGCATGTACGCACCAAATTCGCCATCTGTAATCAAAATGGTAGACATCAAATTTAATAGCCATGGCGATGCGATTTTCTAAATAACTTTAGATAGATTATATGGAACTTCTACAACGTTCGAAAAAACGTTCTTGTAACTATCCCACATATCTACTAGGATATGTATGAATAAGTGCATGTAAGTAATTAACTTGGTACTTGGTGCAACGGGCTGGTGTCCGCAACTCGACGACATCTAATTTCTATTATTAATTAATATTAAATTGAACTTAATAAAAATTCATTCAATAAAATAATTTGTAAAACTTAATATAGCGTAAATTGGAATGTGCTCTTTCTAAAATTTAAAAATAAGGTATTTAATTAATAGCTATTGTAACTATAGTGAAAAAACAGAGTGGTTTGCATAAATATTAGACATAACTGTTGAAGACTGTACCACCTCATTCAACCGTGACCATGGGACCTGTAAAGGGCCCGAAACGTCGGTTTTTGGTTAGATTTCTCATAGATGGCGCTACGACTAAAAAGTCGTTGAAAAACCTAATACAAAGACACGACGCAAGCACATAGAAAAACTCGTTGGGTCCGTTGGTTCGTTCCGTGGCTTAGTTGATATAGCGTCTGCCACGGTATGCAAGAAGACGTCGTCGTCGGTTCGAATCCGACCGGATCGAAGGAATTTTTTCTGAGTGTTCGATCTTTGTATTAATGATTACAACAAACCAGTGGAGTAATTTCACAAAAATAATTGAATATCAATTCAATAAAAATTGAAAATATTCTACCTCTAAGGGTGGTAAACTAGGGGATGAGTGCGGTTTCGCGCACTTTCCAGTAAACGGTCGGTTTTTTTAGTACTCTGTACTGGGATTATTTATTTACTCTTGCTGCTATGCACCATACCTATCTATGCTACTTTGCACTGAAAGTGTTTTTTTTTTCAAATGTGTTTTTATATTACGAATGAAGAGAAAAGTTCATTTGTAAATAACATTTTAGTTTGTTTCTTTTTAAAAATAAAGACAATCAACAAACATAAAAAATGGACCACTAAAAGATCTAGACCTAAATAAAGTGGTAAATTATTATTAGATTGCAGAATTGTAAATCTACAATTCTAGGAAATCTCCTACAATCGCTAAATCACTCGTCATATGCGGGAATTAGGTACAGGTTATTAATTATAATTACAAGCACTCTTATCAACCGCAATCTCAGTTGATGGCAATGACGATGTGGTCAGCGGTGCTTCACAATTCACCGTCGTCTTAAAAGGATCCCAAGTTATATACGCCTTTAAACTTTCGCGTTGCATAATACTTACTAACGTTGCAAAAGGAGATAGACGCAATAAAATCGATTTAATAAGTGACTGAGCCAGCCAGTGACCACAGGCTGTGCAATCTAGCCGAAAAGTCAGAATAATAGCATAGCTATAGGTGTAATAAGACAAGTATGGTAAATCCGTACAAACGTAGTATAGCGCGGTTTGTATGGTATGTGCCTGTCGCGTGTCATGTACGGACGCACACAATCGCCAATTTCGCGATGTAATCGGGTTGCATAGGTACATAGCGCGCGGCGGGCGTGCACACATATTGGTCGCGTTGCTGTGTATGAATGGAGTTACCATACACGTTTTATTATACTATGGTAATAGGTAAGTTTGCAAATAAGTATTACGGCGCTCCCTCACCCAGAGCATTCACCTGTAATGAAACAATCCAAGTTTTGATTTTGAGCATTACATTACTGCTCACTGACTGGCAAGCATTCGCTTGTAGACTAATCAGTTGTTTTTTACAACGTCAGACAAAGAGATCTTGATTCTGGGCGTGGTAATATTAATTCGATTGTAATATTACAAATTGTATCATTACATGGTGCACACTGTAATGGTCAATTCTCCTCACTCACTGATGTAATCCTGAAATATAAACTGTTACATTACAGGTGAATGCTACCCATAGAGGGAGCGCCGTTAAATAGATTAAATCTTCGCTTATGTCCATTTGCAACTTTCTTTAAATTCGTTCACAATTTTCAAATCCAATTCCACACTAGCTGTATTCATTGGAAATAATGGGTATCGAGTTCAAAATGCGTATCGAAAATGTAAACAAGATTTAACTGTGGATTCTGATCTGGCTGGCATTTAAGTTACAAGGTCAATGTAATCAGCCTGTAATACTTTACCTACCTTTTATTTTGTCTGTATGATATTGCTCCCTCAACAATTGAAGGAAATTCTCATAAAACTCTTTTGATTTGTCACCTGGCATAGCATTGTGGAAATCTGGTTTGTTACCCTGAAATGTTAACAACAACTTTCTACATAGTAAGAATCACTCTGAGGAATCTTTGAATTCAAAGAAAATGCAAAGAACACAATACGATATATTTCCAATGCAATATAATTATATCCATCATTCAGTATACGACAACATCAGGACTCGACAGATTCGTGATACAGCACATTCGCTATTTATCGCACTCATGGAGACATTTTTTGTTGAGAAAATATCGACAGATATGTTACATAAGCTAGCCAATAACAATTTCCTTCACTGCACAGAACATTCGCATTTATTTAGAAACTGATACAAAAGAAGTCACCCATTAAATAGCTATAGCATTAATAGCAGCACATAATCATAAATTTTTCTATTTGAACTATGTGGAAAGATTATTTATATTTATTTTTATATTATGCCTCTTCACAATGTTTACGTTTAAAGTGGTAAGTATTGTGTCAAGTATATAGTATAGGTGTTTTGTAGAAAGAGCGCCAATTAAAAAAAATATATACTATAATAGTTACGTCCTGTTTTAAACTCAATTTTGGTTAAAATGAAGTTTGTTTTAAAATTGAATTTAAAACAGGACAAAAATACAATTACAAAAACCTAAAACAGACTCCCTGAATTTTTTTCAAAATGGCACTTACGCCCTTTCTACAAACCACCAACCATATATATTTTTTGCTTGAGTAGACCATATACAATAGAAAACTAGGCATGTCTATTACTGACATGACTTCGCTATCAAATAAACGTGCATAATACATAATAAACATACAGACAATACGTATTTGTTCAGTGGGGCTATCAAATATACACATGCTAATTACACCATCTAACTGCTAAAGGCATGCGAGCGCATCAGAAACAGGCTATGAACAGATTTACCTTCCAAGTGTTGTACAAAGTGAACTGACTGACACAAAGAATTTCTAACTGTTTGTCAACGACACTCTTCTTCCATCTCTTATTGTTTTCATCATCGAATAATTTCATGTTAAGTATTTTGCGGGCTCTGTAATAAGAAATTGTGTTCATTCATTGACTTACAATTATATGGACGTCGGGTCAGCGCTAAAAAGTGTCCGAACTTATAGGGCGTTAAAATCGTATACAGAGCGTCATTCACGCTTTAGTCTTAGTTTGTTCGACTGACAGCGAAGCAAGCAAAATTAGACAGTACTGCGATGACATTACAATTTAAATTCAACATTTTAGCTTTTTCATATTCGTTGACATGTCACTATGTTTAAATAGGTTGACTTGAGACATTTTTTTCGTGGTTTGTGTATTAGACCCGTCGTCCATTTATTTGTAAGTCAATGTGTTCATTACATCTTTTCATTAAATTATGTATGGTATGAAGCTGTGTTTGAAATACACATGTTACTGTGATGCAAGAATCTCATCTATGGAGGATGTTTACAAATAGTCTAGTCCACTGTATCAGAGTAGGTTTGGGGCATCACACTTCTTGAGAATTCAGTGAGCCTATTCGAACATACAGATTTTATATATTTACCTATTACCTTAAAGTAAGTGTTACTTCTTGGCAAACTACTCCTTAGTGGGTACAACCTAAAAGGTAAGCGATCTTCAAGGGTCTCTGCAGTTTGACAGTACTACAGAAAACTTTAACTTACATATGTTCCATGTCTTTTGTAGTATCATTATTTGATATTCCAACAAAAACACACACTCCTTGGCCAATACTGCTGACCACTTCGTCATTTACTACAAGAGAAAGAATAATTTATTCCAATTGATTACACTTGTGAAAGAAATAAAATTTCCATAATAATTTGAAGTTATTTCTTAGAAGAACAACTCTTTGGTTGAGGGATTTAGCATTACGGAAATTAAACGAAAGTAATAAAAAATCTAAGTATGATGCTTATTTCTAAGTTTCATCAAGTGATCTCAATGTTTGAATTTAGTTTTTAAAATTAACTTACCGGTGACTTTTGCATTAATAACCCTTTGAATTAAGGCTTTCATTGCTTTAATTTATCGTAACGAAGAGAAAATCTGATTTATTCTAGAAAGTTCAAGCGGAGAAACGATTGTACAATTTACTGTACGTAACGAAATATCTCAAAATTGATAGGAATCGGTTGCAGAGCACAGAACACTACTAATATCTTGTTTTCAGATCTTTACTAACGCCGCAAGTAGGAATTACCAGTCTAACGTAGTAATTACATTCTCTTTGATGTAATAGGTACTCATATGCATGGTGATTTGATTCTTCTTTAATTTTGGCGGTGGGTACCCTTTTAGAGTTAATTTCACCTCAAGCAGTGGTAGCGTTACAACACAACCAACCACCACAAACCACTACACGAACCACTAATACAAGACATTAGACAACCATTGTGGAGACAACCCTTTCTTTGTCTATCGAGACAAGCTTCCATCCTCTAAGAGACAAGCACATGTCTTTGACATTGACATAATTATATTTACGTTTAAAAACAATGGCAAGCAAACCAATCAGTCTATCAAAAAATGACGATTATAAATATTTTTTGTACGATAAACATACATTCTTTGCTAGTCAGTGTTTCTGGCTCGCTTGACGTAACACGTGATGTATTACAGCAACGCAGTATTTCTGCGCCTTATACTTTTACTTTACTTTCAAGTTAGATTTTCTAAGTAATATTAATTTCCAAACGAAAATTATAACAAAAAATTACTGCTATCCATCCGACCATAGATGACGCTTTATTCATAATACAGATAATCCACACTAGATGGCGCTACGATAAAAATCCTGAAATGGCTTCATTTTACTTTCTGTCATTCAGTCCATAAATATTTATGATTTGAAAAAGGAATAAATAAAAGTTACTATTCATTAGGAAATGATACTGGTTGATGATTGTACCATCTCAGTCAACCGTGACCTTGGGATCTTTAAAGGGCCCAAAACGTTGGTTTGTTTGAAATTACAAATACACGCGATTTAAATATGAAAAAATAGTTTCATTTCCTATGTGTAACAATCGCGAAAACGTAAGAACTCGATATATTATTATTCATTACTTACTTCTACTCATTTTCTTTTTTTTTTTCATTTGAGTGATCCAAATTTATGTGTTGCCTCTTTTCCGAAATAGGTATGTATGTATGTAGTATAGTGTCGTTACAAAAAAGGTATAACCGCATTTCAGATCGAAAAAAAGTTAAATTAGCAAAAATAAATCTGGTTTCTCCGTACAAATATCACATTGACGGCGCACATTTTGCCCATATTTCCTGCAAGACCAGTTAGTCATTCGCTTTTTTATTATTGCATATACGTGGATTGAATATACAACCATAACAAAAACAGACTTTAAGACTTTAAGTAGGTTAACGTAACACAAACTAGAATTCGCAAACAGAAGGTATGGCATGCAGAGGTAATAGTTATAATTTCTTAAATGACAACATTGCGCAGTGGAATATCACATTCCCGTGGAAAATTGTGTTGCAAATGAAACTAGGTATTGTTTAGAGACTTGGTACTTTAATTTGAAAAGCGCGTCTTAAAATTACTTTAGCAATAACAAACAATTTTATTAAGCGTAATTTTAGTTTTAATGGGAGTCTTGTGCAACTATCAATATAAAGAATCCTTAATTGTAATATTTATCAATTTTAAAAATTATGATTTTTGCTCCCTGTTTACAACAATATTGGAATTACCAACAATTTATCAAAACTCTCAATATTCTTTGCTCCCAACATTTTTTGCGTTTATCGTGTTTGTAGTTCATAAAAATTAAACTATTCTGTCAATCAGAGAGTTGTAATATTAAAAATTAATTAACTTGCAATATATTCGCGTACATCTCTAGACAGATTACAGTCTAATGACATTTGGTGACCGATCTTTTGTTATCGTAAAAAAAACAATAATACTATATTTAGTACTGTCACATAGAGTATGTATTATTATTTTACTCACGAAACCAGTCCGTCGTTAAACGCTAAAGGTCTACCCAATGTCTATATCGACAAAGTAGGTATTTAAATAAAATTAAAAAATGAACACAGTGCATGGTATATAGGTCTGTGCATTAATTAGTAACTAATCTACTAAATGCAACATAGAATAAAATATTCCCACAAATGTAATGAGATTTAAAGAATTCTTTGACTAACGCCAATACTATGGCATAAGTGTCCGAAAAAGGGTAAAATCGTACAAAGAAACACCGCTGCGTGCCAAAAGACTACAAGTACCACAAACTGTTCAGACAATAAAGTTTCGCAATTAGTTTTGCCCGGTCAACTCAAAGAATGGAAAGCTAATTTCTGAATCGGAAAGACCTAAAAATACGTGCTTTTATTTCAATGTTGTAAATTAACATTTAAATAAAAATGTGAAAGAAAATTACTACATTTTGTTTTTCTTATGCTTTTAGCCTTATAAGGCACGTCGCTGTGGCCATGCCACACACAAAATTATTAACTTGTATTACTATGTCATTCCTGGAACCATGATAATGCTACGTGTGAAAAACAGGTATGGTAATGACTGTCCTCAGAAAGATACAGTGGACTTCTATATACATTATTTATATTCTATAGGCATTAGTCAAAGGACAAGGGTTCGCTCTACATTTGACGCTAAGTAAATTATCAGAAGGAAAAAAAATATTGTTTGTAATATAAAATTGTTTAGCTGAACCATTGTTAACTAATGCATCTCACCACCAATTCGTAACATTTACTAATGAAAAATAAAATTTTGTTAGCATCAACAAAATCAAATAAAATAATAGAATATACATATTTGACTTTAGTAATGTCGCAGTGGAAGTTTTCTTAACTAGGATAGAGTATTTAGTTCGAAAAATTACTAATAAATTATACAATTTAAACCTAGGTACATAGTTACTTACAAAAGCAACAACATGCAAGACAATATACTTTTACTTGATAAATATGAATAACGACTTATTTATGCAATATGTTCGCTCACAATTTGTTAGAACCATTATTATAAATCAGTAAGGCGTTGGAAACTTACGTACTAATTATTACGAGCCTCGATACAACCTGGTTGTCCTATTGTACATGATGTAGAATTTATTGAATTATAAATAATAATAAAAAGAGATGTAAAAATTAAAATAAATTGAATGTACGTTGAAATTGTACCGTTGATTCCATGTGTCTGCGTACAAGTGGCTCATAGTATATATACTTTGGTAAGTGTTGCGGCTTCGTTACTTATAGCTAATGAGGACGGGAGAATCAACGTCAGGCAGGACAACGCGTTCTGCCTAAACTTTGCTATAATTACACCAAGTTAAAACTTAAAACCTAATTATGACGGTCACAGTAAATAACAACTTTACACAGCAGTAAATCTGTTTTAAGTTTGTCTAAATTGATTTATATCTACACTTAAATTACTAACACATTATAACAAACTGAAAAAACCCTATACTCTAAAATTAATACCCTTGGATACTAAAACTGCATATCAAATTTAAGTAAGTTTCCTAATTAAATATCACTCACTTATAGAAGCTTAGCTCAAGCTTAATTAAATCTACCTATGTTAGAGTAAACTCTAACTTCAGATATGTGTGCTGTTCTGCTTGACAGGGAACAACACAAGTGACTGTGGATGTTGTCCGTACAGACGCATATGTTCGGCGTATCGCCGTTTGTTTTCAGGGTTACTCATCACTGCGGCTACAAATTCTGAAGTTTCCTTCTGCAGCGCAACGATTCTCTGTTGAATCATGCTGTTTTTCTGCATAAGCGTGATGGTTTTCCAGGCGAGTTCGAGGATGAGTCGGCACTGGGCGTTCTTATCGACCAAGGGGGACGGCAGGCGCTCTACGGGGGGCGACATCAGCTGCTGGAGCCGCTGAATGCGGCGCGCCTCTCGCAGGTGGGTGCTGTGCGATCCTGTTGATAAAATACGCGCCTTTATATACCAATAGTGAATGCTTAAAGTACGACATTCAAAGATATGTTACTTAAAAAAAGATTTATCATAAACTTGAAAAACTATTATATAATATAGAAAATAGCGGCTAGGTTCTTGTATTTCACGCCGTCAATTATAAAGGCACGTGGAATCGTAGGATATAATGTATGCGAGCGTTATGTAATGCGCGTAACGACGTAGTCGACGCGTGCTGGTTTTGTGTAAGCAATGAAGTCACGTTGTGTGCGCCGTATGACAAAAGTCAAGTGCACATCCACGTTTGCTAACCATGGTCGGGCAATTGACTAAAGTCTAGTCAATATGTTTATAGTTTTTGATCGACTTTAGAAACCTAAACGTATAAAAGTTCAAAATAATGTAACATCTAACAATTGCAATATGACCTAGACCACAACAGCTTTAGAAGTGTTCGCTTGCCGTAAGCCCTTAAACGTGCGTAGGCGACTATGTGGGACGCGTGGCCGAATAGCGTCTTCAATGTGCTTTTTATAGTTAAGGAGACTAAGATCGCTGTCGGTCGCTTAAAAATTTGCAATGGTAGCTAATCACGTTACAAGGAGGCGAGCGTTCTAAAATCGCTAACAAAAACAGCGCAGCGCGTGCGTTGGCCACGTGCACTACGCCGCAGTTGTCTCGCGACTCGCCGACGGCTAGACCACCGCCACCAGTAGCAGCTAAGAGACATGAAAAGTCATTAATACGTGGATCGGTGTCAATTTATGAACGTCCTGCTACGGGGCACTTAACTCGCCTAATCTCCTTAGGCTATAGTCCCGCTGCACCTATGAAAGTTGGGACCAAAAAATAGATTGTTTGTAAATAGTCATGCTATCTAATGCAGCTACGCCATTTTAATTTGTGACTGTGCTCGTAGAACTAGAAAACACTGATAATACTCGCCTTCATTGGGGAACTGTAGTATCTAATGTATGCACAAAAAAACAGTCGAATTAAGAACCTCCTCCTCTTTTGAAGTCGGTTGAAAATAAGAGAGAGGATGTGTTCAATGTAGAATTTGCCCTGAGACCCAGATGCTGTTACAGAACGAAAACAGCACGTCGCTCTTCCATCTTTCCGATTTCCATCGGCCGAGATGTATGCCATAATAGCTGTATAATAAATACTACTGTTCTAAACCTACATTAACTAATGCATCTACATAAATTAAGACAGTCAAGCGGCTATCAACGCCTGATGTCAACTCCAACCCTTCATTGGGATCACATTCAACGAGGCAAAACTCACCGTTCAGACTAACAATCTTTAACACTCAACCCCTTGATTAACGCCTAAAGTGCCTAACACTACAGCAAAAGACTGGTACTGGGCACACAAACCCTTGCTCTATGATTGAGCAGGACTGGCATCCGAATTTGAACAGTACTCTCACGAGACTTTGTGGTTTTAATAAAGATCTAATCTTACATTAAGAGAGAGCAGGAACTGTAGATTCTGCAATGAAGTGGGTAAAACTCTACGCTATATTAGCTTGCCCTTTAATGGGAACATAACACCAGGCAAATGCAAGTACCAACTAAAGGAACTTAAAACAATCGAAACCAGGGAAAACTTCAGTTATTTTATACTGCTGATCTTGGCTCAGAGTTGTAATTAGTGGGATCACTTATTAGTAATAACTAAAAAATTAAATAGTCATTGATGAAGGGCTGTACAGGCCAGGAATTAAGCCACGTTAATAATAATAATAACTTAGGTTCCTGACCTCGGCCGACAGTGCCATTGCCGATGCCGCGACATACCACCTCCGGCATTTATAATTTAGAAATTTATCTTTTGGACCATACGATAAGCGAGAATCTAAAATAGATACCCCAAGTAATACTAAAAGATTAACAATAAAAACTTATTTATCGATCTGTCTTAACGAAATGAATAAATGTATTTCATTAATTATTTCATGATATTTTTGGGGGTAACCTTGCGAACACTTGCGTTTTATCCACAGTTAGTTGATTGGTAGGACGTATTAGTTCCGGAGAATCAAGACGATTTCTAATAATGTCATAGTAATACCATATCAGTTAAGACACTTCTATCGTCAAGTGTTATCAAATTACATCAGCGGCAACTATCATTGTAGGAGTCAAAATTATAAAATTATAGTAATTTTAAAAATTTTATATAATTAAGCATACTTTTTAATATTTTTAGTCGGATACGAACTGAAGCTAACAAACAACAATAAAACCTACATTTTCGGATAGCCCCACTTACTATGCAGTTGTTCCATATGGCTTTATGATTTTAATTGGATACCAAGTGGAACTAGCGTATTTGAGCTCATTGCGGACATAAGGTCGTTGAACAGTATACACGTGCGCAAAACAAAGCCTCAACTATAGAAAGCCTTACTTACTATGCACCCTTTATGTAGAATTCATTTTAAAATAGTCATTTTGTTGTCCATGTGTAGTCTAAGCTCCCGTACTTGCTCTACTCTGTCTACCGATATGGAATTAAAATTATATAAAACATAGGTATATGATCCCATGATCCCGTCTTTATGATGTTATTGTGTGTGTAATAATATTTTTTATCACACTCATTTATTTGTACATTCAAAACATATCAACATTTTTATTAATAAATTTTTACCTAAATTGTTACGTTGCGTAAACACCTAGCTGTTATTCTTGTAATATATAAATCGGCGTTAATTTTTCAAAAACATCAAAACTTTAATTAAACAAATGGTTTGTACTATACAGTCGTATAATTATATTAGCACTACCAACGATGTGCTGTTATCGCAGGAGAAGCGGGACGAACGTGATACCAACACTTCAGGTGAACGACCTTTCACCGCTATAGCAGCCTGCTCTACTTTTAGCCTTTGTACATAACATATAAGTATAACCATAGATTTAGTATAACATTAACATACGCACATATATACACACTTTTAAAATCTTTTTATAAATATTTTAGGATAGACTAACAACAACTGAGAATCAAGGTTCAGTTTTCTTACCGGCTTCAAAAAAATGGAGGACGTTTTCAATTCGACTGTATTTTCTTTTGTGTATATGTTACGCGATTACTACGGAATTTGTGAACCGATTTCGAGTTTTCCTTTTTGTAGGAAAGAAGGCACCTCAGTATTGGTCCCATTTAAATTTGAAGAAAATATTTCACTTCTAATGGTGGAAAACTAAGGGATGAATTCGGTTTCGCCCTCTTTCCGGTAACCGATTGCAATAAAATTTGGCAAATAGACGTAATAAGTTTTAGGGTCGGTTTTTTTTACAATTTATTATGAAAAAGTAGGAAGACAATCTTTTATCCCACATTAAATTAAATATATTATGTTGAGTCGGAAGTGTGATAGTAGGTAACCTATTTCAATAAATGTTTTCCTGTGTACTTATTTTATATCTTCAACAATTTTCCGGTCGCTTAATGGAGCTGTAACAATTGTTCCGTCAACAATAACAGAAGCCTGTCCAATACAAGGACAAAGGAAGTGAAAAATATACTACAATCGCAATATTTAATATTCCTACAATTAATGTGCGCGAAATTCTACTAATATCAAAATAATGTTGAGTGAAATAGAATTTGTAGCATTTAGTAGTAGTTAGAAGAAAGTTATCAAAGGCAAAGTTTCCCATTTGGATCACCGAACGTATTCTATTGCTGAAGGACATACCATATCAGACGAAATGAACCAAATAAACAATCGCTCACTGGTCTTACAATACGAAATTCCTTATACAGTACATTCAACAACACAATATCAAGCCATACACTTTTGTTCGAATATCGTCCGGTCCATGTGTAGCTTGATGTGCTGCCGTCCGAAAAAAAAACTCAGGTACAAAAACTAAAATCCAGCTTTTGTCCTCGAATTCTGATGTTCGGATCGAATAGTTCAGATGCAGTTTTTTTTTTTTTTTTTTTTATACATGACAGGCAAATGACTCCACTCCACCTGATCTTAAGTGGAAAGTGGTATCCAAACGCGAAGGAACCTAGTTAGTTTAGAAAGAGTCAACCTGAGCCGAGGTAATCAAATGAAGTACTAACAAAAAAGGAAGGGAAATTGTTGCCACCTGCTACTTTTTTATGACGTAATAAAAATGCATGTACCAATGTATTGGTATACCCAGCAAAGGCATCTGCGACGTCACTGTTTATTGACAAACAGTCTATTATGTTGAAAACAAACAATTGCATTGGAAGACTCCATAAGCATCTTCATGTCAATAATTCGGTAAACAAAATGCGCGACGAGATTACGCGTACGGCACTGTCTGAATCAGCCCAAAATGTAATTTATGCCAATAAGACGCAGGAACTAATGAAGAGAATCACGTTGTATCTACCTACACGCCACGAGAATTTACTATAATAATTAATATATTTTTTTTTTAATAATAAACCTGAATTTGTACTGACGAGATCGATTAATACATGTACTCCTTCAAATGGGCTATGTCTGGAGGGTAAAGGAAAGTGATCACTGCATTTTCGTGTACCATTAATTTCGCCGATGAAGAGTGTGTTTTGACCAAACATGAAAGTGGGTCATCCGCATGTCGTTGTCGGTGCCACTACCATCAAATGAATACACAATGGGTGCTAAAGAACCATATAAAATCGCCGAAACATTTGTGCTACGCGATTGCTGGTAAACACGCTTTCAGTAATTTAACATATTAAAACTGAATATTGAATGTATTTTATTAATATTGTTATGTAGTTGTATCATTTGAGAGCGTGGGAAGTGATAAATTGTGTTGTAAACACTGGAATGCCAAGTAGGCAGTTATTGAAACAATATTATAAATTTCAACATTTGTTAAGTAAAACTGATACAAATTAAAAAATATGATAATTTCCCACTTATTATCATCATAAATACTACTATATTCGGCGCAAATGATGTACAACACTTGTACACAATAAATGTTATTTATTTTTATGTGCAGCAGATCAATGACATAAAGTTACTGAATGTTGTATTATAATTACAAAAAACAAAAATGTTTCATTTGAATTTAGGGAATATTTACCTTTCTTTATCTTCCTTGATTTCTTTTCACACATGATGAAATAACACGTTTTGTCCGACAAACTTTTATCACAAACAGTGGCAGTGAATTTTAAAGTGTATGTAAACTTAAGCCAGGTCAAGCGGACACAACCACTCCGCACAAAGTCCTAGTGAGGTGTGTGTATTTGATTGAAAATCGAATGCTTGCCGTTCCGTAGTCACGAGCTCGAGTGTAGACAAGAGCGAGACGGCTTGGTGTTGTCATGCTTTCATTAGCATCGTCCTTTTATATTTTCCTATAATAATATGTGATTTTAGCGAAATATTTAAATACGTATTGTGTATCTATGTAAGATATGCAATATATAAGTGTAATAACATTATTGATTATAAATGTACTGTATTATGATATAGAAGGAATTATATCTGTCGTACAGTGATGTTTTTGGTGATAATAATTGATAAGATAATTGGTAAATTTTTATAAGGAATTGGTAATTGCAAATTTAGAGTTTTTTTTCCTTATAATAGTATTTTAGTACATAAGATCATACAATTCAAAGCCGTGTATATTCGTTATTTAAAATAAATAGTAATACAATTTTATTGTTTACCGAATGATCTTCCTTCAAGAAACCTAGCAAGTTATAATTTGTGTAAAGGAAAACCTGGAGAAAAGCAAAACTTTGAAACAATAATATAGAAAAGAATTGTTTCATATAAAAGGCAAGGCCTTGCTGTAGGAGGAAACCAAGCAAGTCTGTATGTTTTGAAGTTTAAGGGAATGTTTGGAATAGCCTAAATATTATTTTTTTTAAATAGTTCTCGCGCCCACTTCAGTAGGACTAGCACGACAGGGGGCTAGAGTGTCATATAGCTCGGTATATTAATGCGAAAACAGTAGTATCTCACTCGATCGAATATCTACGTTCATTTGTGAATCAGAATGATTTCGATTACAATATAAAAAGTTAAAGACAACGTATGCATTTCTTTATTTATGTTTACATTATGGTAAAAAAAAAACTTCATCAATATACATAATAGAATAGTGAACATGAAAACACTGCGAATAAAGGAAGCGAAATAAATTTACCGGGATCGTGTCAGGTCCGTTACGGTCCCAATTGAAGAAAGGCGTGCCCTCATTTTGTGTATGTATTTAATTTTGAAACAATGTATACAGTGTAACAGTCTTTCCCGACTCTCAGGCACATTCCAAAATTCTTAGATGGTATCATCGTACAATGCGATTGTATGCAATAGTTTTACTTTATTCTAAACTGAGTCTTGTGTATTTATAGACGGAACTCACAATAAATTGCAACGTGGTAGTTTTAGTATCGCATGTAGATACACGTGCTTCAGACCGTGACGTCATATAATTGTTTGCGATACTACGTGACGGGTTCTGTGACTATGCAATATTAATAGGCCACGATGTAATAAATACATACCGTGGATATAATACACTTATGGACAACAAATTCGGGCCATTTAAAGGCAGGATAACATTAATAATTAGTAGGCTAGGACTCTAAGTTCAAAATAAAATGTTAAAGATACCATACCAACTACTACAACAATTGATAATAATTAAGTGTTCAATATTAAGAATAATAGTGAATAATACTAAGAATAAAATGAATAAGTAGTAAGCGACTCGCCTGACCATAAGATAAACATGATGCAGTGCCACTCAGAGCTTTAAATTACAAAGATCTGAGGGGCACTGCCACTGCGTTCGTCACCCTGAAGCATAAGTTAAAAGTCCCATGTGCCTGTAATTTCACCAGCACCCCTACTCTTCCATACCGGAACGCAGTAATGTGAGCGTTACTGCGTAATTTGCATACTGTGCGTAATCTGGGCATTACTGCTCGGCGGCAGAAATAAGTAAGGTTACAGTACGAACTCTTTCTTAAGGAACTCTATACTGAAACTGGAATGCTTAATTATAATAAAAATAAAATATAAGTTCCACTTAATAAAATAAAAATTACCACCGAAATAAGGTAGCGAACACAAACCAGAAAATGACCCATTTACCGTTCATAGTACATAGTCAATTATAGTGTGATTTTTTTAAAATTAATTAGTGATGCAACTACATTCGTAGTAAGTGTAATTTTGTCAAGTTCGGAGTAAGGAGCCTCTTTAACTTTCATCAACCATAAATGGGTTGTTGAAAGTGTCCCACTGCTGTGCACGGGTTTCCTCCCAGGCGAGGTTTTAGGCCGCAGTCCGCCTAACAAACTTAAATGATAACTGCTGGTGCATTAACCAAATTTAATTATACCACTGGCGTATAAAAATATAAGCAAATAACTGTATTATATAACAAATTCAAATACCGAAATTTTTACAAGGTGGATATTTTTCACGCGAATAAATTGCAGTAGTTGTAACCTTGCCGAGTAGCACCTGCGTGCCTCCAACGTGACACCACGTGGGCGGTGAACGTGTTAGGGTTTCAAAACAATAATGAGATGTTCATTCCGAACACTAACACCGAATGTGTGTTCCACCATGACATTATGACACTCCCGGAGGTACGACGTATTAGTTATATAAGAATTTAGTAACACAAGGGTGTCTACATGAGTGACTCAAAAGGGGCGCTTCAACATTTAGCTCTGTGCACCTCCGGTAAACGAGGACTCCCAGTAGCTTATACCATTCTAAACATATTTTTAAATCTTAATTAAAAGACAAAAATATAAAATTCCAGTGGATCCCATCCCATCCTATGTAAATCTATGAGGAAATGAATTAGCTGATAAGGGAGCGAAGTCGGGCATTCATGATGGTGTACTTGTAAATGATATGCCTTTTTTCACCGATCTTTTGAGAGATGTAAAAATTCATTGTTACACAATGTGGAAAGAAGATTTTAACAGGAGATCTGTCGAAAAAAGTATATGGTAGGTATAAAACTATACAAGCTGAACCGCCAAAAATACCTTGGTTTACATAAATTAGCCTGAACCGGCATCTACTAGTCACCAGTATGAGACTGCGCACCGGATATATTCCACTAAATGCGTTCGGTCTCCTATTGAAGATAGTAGACACCCCGAACTGTACTATTTGTAACACCAGAAAAGACACCTACCATGCTTTAGTGGAATATACCCGGATCAGAGCGGAACGAAGACTGATAGAACTGGAGGCTGTAATCAAAATAACAGATGTTGGCATGTGCAATTACATATTATCTGAGCCTAATAGTACCCTGGCTAATAAAATATATAATTTAATACTTAAGTTACTTAAAAATAGATAAGTAAGTAGAAATAAGAATAATCTGTAACGATGGAGCTGGCATTATCGCTAAGCGATAAAAGCTCTGGTTAAATAAAAGATTTAAAAAAAAATTTGAGGGGTGCTGCCACTGCGCCTGACACCCTGAGATGTAAGTTGAGAAATACCATGTACCTGTAATATCACCAGCACCCTTACCCTTCGAAACCCTGAACGCAGTAATGCTCACAGACGCGAAGTTAGTTCTTGTTCTCATATTTGCGTTACGTGTGCGCTAATGCAAATGGGATAGCACAAGATGGAAAAGCAATCACACACAAGCAAAGATACAACTGTTTTCTACACCGATCGAAATATAAAGCTGCGGTAACACATAATCACACACATACGCACTCATGATAAAAACATTACCCTAATTTTGGAGTCGGCGTAGTTGAGATTATTACTACCTTGCGTGCAATAAGTTGACATCAGAGTATCGATCATGTGAAGTAAAATATAAACAAAAAGGAATTATAAATAGACATGAGAATGGTTTTAAACCAAAGACTTCTTTATTGTTTTAAACTATCAGCAAACAAACAAGTACGAAGGGCCACTGAAAAACATTTAAATTGCGAAATTGAAGTTGACTGTCAATGACGTAAGGTTAGACTTAAGTACAGGCTGTTAGTTTAAGTTGGTTAGCAAAAAGGGGCTTAAACAAAGTGTGTGTAAACTCAAGTATTGTAAATCCGCACTCGATATTAAGGCCTATTTTGCGAGAGACGAATTACTGCCGGTGCGTGCTTTTCTTAAGCTAATAATAATGCGATTTGTTATATACCCAAGACATCCAATAAGTCGTTACTGTGTTTAAATAAATGTCTTTTCCCATATCTTCGTTACAAACAAAAATACCCTGCATTTACATTAGCAGCTGGTCCCCTTATAATACATTATGTAGTGACTGTCTACGAGCGCAGCTGCATTGCGAGCGCGCATGTTGTAGTCAATGCCATTTCAATTTATACATTTCAACAAGCTTTGAATAAGCGTTGAATTTAAATTGCCTCTGTGGCCGAACGGTTACCATGCTGCACTGCCACGCTGTTTCCTGGTTCGATTCCCGGGCCAGGAGAAATATTTGTATTCATTACTCTCGTGAGTTTGGGTGTAATATTTGGTTGTCTATAGACGTGTTCATGGCATCTATCGTGATAGAGGGGTTCCCTAGTGCTATTAGTGTGTAAAAATAAAATTAACCCGTCTTAGGTTTTCTTTACGTTTGGACTTTTTTTATATAAAATATAATTTCACTCACTCAGAATATGACGTACATAAAGCTGTTATTTAAAGTACAACATTAGTACTAGTTTTAGTAGTCACTTTTTTGCAATGTATATTTAAATTGTAAATGTAAGGTACATTTTTAAAACAGAAATTTCCAGTTTCTATAACGCACACACGCACACACTCAACATAGCCCCGCACTAGGGAAACCCTGTGTCGCGGGTGCCATGGACACACACATAGACAACTACAAATTACACCCAAACTCACGAGAGAAATAAATGTAGGTCATACAAATATTTCGCCCGGCCCGGGAATCGAACCTGGGACCTCTGCGTGGCAGTACGGCATGGTAACCGTCCGGCCACGGAGGCAGTTAATTTTATTACTTATTAATATTAATTAGTACTGCAGTCTATAACTCTAGCTTCAGGTATTTATTAGGTACAGTAAAATACAAAGGTATTATAAAGAGGTTTAAATTTCACCTCGCCATGTTGCAGAGGTTTATTAAAGTGATACAAAAACATACTGATTGTTCCTACCCTAATGAAAATATTGATTATTGTAAAGTAAAAAAAGTTTTTTTTCACAAACAGTAACACTAATAACAAACGGTCGTAAAAGAACGCCGCGAATT